GCCACAGGAAGTTGCCTCAAGAAAGCGCGGCATATGATCTACCCAAATGCTTTGCGACTGAGCTTTATGTCAGTGCCAGTGCCACACTCCCATTGTACCGCGCTTGTGAGTAGAACGCTGACATGTTCACTGAGTCAGCCAGGCTGCTGTCGCACAGACCTGCATCACCGTGGAAACTGGCAAGGCCTCAAGAATGTCTCGGTCCCTGAAGCATTGCACTGAAGTAGGATGCCTTTGGAAAGGCACACTGAGAAGTTGTCGCGCAGGAAGTCTCAAAATCTGTCACTCATGGACACCGTCTTGCAAATCATAACTTGGTCCAGGAGGCTGGAGTAGCGACCATCGCGTGCGACTGGGTGGCCAATGTAAGCCATGTGGCTCCTGCCAGGATGCCATCTCTGGGCACTTCTTCCACCCTCAACAGCCACAGACAACAGCAGGGCAGATGTTTGCCTGATTTGGTGCTTCCGTCCGGTGCCAAGCTGGACTGCAATTGCCTCAGTACGCCAAGCACAGGTTCACTTCAAGCAAAAAGTTTGACAGAGGAATGAGCTGGCCCAAGCTCTTGCTGGCCACAGGAAGCTCCAGAGATCACAGAGCATGGCAAGCATGGCAAGCATGCATCCAACACTAAGTCACATGCCGTCAGGTAGAACATGGTAGAACTTTCTGCGACGAAGACGCAGTCAGAGCTTTGTCTTCAAAGTGGCACTGAACTTGAACCTGGTAGGCATGCGCTTGAACAGCACATGTTCCGGCTATGGCTTCGTACGTAGTCAAGGTCCCGAGTGCATAACGCCGGTACCGAAAAATTGCCCCCTGCTGGCCTTTAATCTCGTCAGCGAGGCTTTGCCAATTCCAGATCGGGTGGTCTCGTAATCATCGTCCAAAGCAGCAGAGATGGCACCTCAGCAAGGCTCCATGCCCTTTGGCCAGCAGTACCTAGCTGGCCAGCTCATCACCAAAGCCCTCCAACTCCGTTCCTTGGAGCGCAACTGAAAACCAATTCAACCCTGGCATAATAACCCCAATATCATAGTAGTTTCCATTTTCTTTTCCATTATCCCAATATATCCCCCCAATATCGACCCTAGTAGAATACATTACTTTCCATTTTCTCCTCCATTATCCTTATATGAGCTATAGTCTA